CAAGTTCATTGACAAAAGGATTGGTTTCACACTAAGCGGAAGTCGATGAAACAGTCATCTCAATTGGGGGGAAATGTAATACCCACCGGAGTGATCGTGAACTTGATCTTGTTGTCTTCATTAGCGTGGCTCTAAAACACGAAGCACTAATTGATTCATGAATCGTAAACTAGGAAAGGGAGGGAACGGTTCCCGGAAAGGTTTCCATTTCCAAAATATTCTATGGAAATATTTAGTCTCTTGTGCATTTTTGATTGGCAGACAGTTTACATGACTGCAAATGCCGGACAAGTTTATTATTGTTGATAGTCAAACACAAATATATATATGTCCCGAGATGCATACTAATTAATGCGCTGTACTTTGGCTTATATAACGCACGGGTACTATAACTACCCAGCTAATTAATGCAATGCAAACTGAATCCAGACCCATGTTCGAGTTGCAAATTCATTGTCAATGCAAATTGATTTGCATTTCGAGGGGATGGCTGCCAGGGGAGGCCGCTGACCCACCCACTTGTCTTTGATGTGAGGAAATTCATTAGAAAAGCGTCTAAGGAGAACCAGTTTAATCCGAACTGAACACAGCCTAACTGAAAGGCTTTACAATGTTTGTAAAATAAAAACAATTAACACCATTTATTGGCTACTCGTAAAACCTTATGTTATTAATTGCATTTTCCATTAAAAGCCCTGAAATTTTTTACAAATAAAGTTTAGAGGAGAAGAAATATAATAGGTATTTATTTTGATAGTACTAAGGAATATATTGAGACTGATAGAAACTGCAACTCTTCATTTGCAAAAAAAATATATTAAATATGTAGCTCAGTTTTTATTTATTTTTAAAGGTTAATAAGTGCATGTACTACGTTTTATATACACAATATAGAAAAATACACCTTGTAGGTATATATATGACTAAATAATCTAGACTCGTCCGATGGCCACAATCTATAGACTGGCTGTCTGACTATCTCGAAACGGTAGCGCAGCTTTTCCATCAAGTTTCGCCTTATCTGTTGAGAATCACTCTGGTTCCGCAAAAATGAAACCGATTTAAACACGCGACTAGCACGCAGATTAAATATTTTTAAATATTAAGATAAAACTGACTCATTCTCGATTCGAAGTTCCAATTTGGAACAGTATTAATATTGTCTGTTCACGCGTCCATCATATAAGACGATTTTATTGGGGTGAGAAATAAGGAAAGTTCTCAGAAATCAACAAATATTTGATTAGCTTATCTCGCCAGAGATTATATTATTTGCAATACTTTATATATATTATCTCTCATTTTTGCATTATTGTGGCGCAAGAAGAGAGATAAAACTATTTTGGTGCATAGCGCAAATAAAATGCATTGTGCGCTAAAAATAAAAAAAATTAAAAAAGAAAGCAAACTGTCTGACACGCCCCCGTCTATGCAGAGGCTGGTAGGCGGTTCTATCAAGGTCAGTGGGGCGGCTGTAGTTCAGAATCTTATCAGTCCGATTAATCAGAAATTATTCACGCTTCTCTCGTGTGCCTCTAAGGAAGAGTAAATCGATGCAAAGTCATTGAGAAAGTAAATAAAAGTTTACTGCCTATGATAAATTCCTTTTAAATATATAACTAAAATTAATAGTATTATTTTCTATATTTTCTAAAATTATTCATGAAATTTTATAAGTAAAAATGCATTACATGATAGGTTTTAAAATTATTTCCATAAAGCGAGTACATTCTGACATTATATTTAGATATAAACTGTTTATACCCAGCTGGCATAATTATTTATAGACTTAATAAACTATTTAACAAATAAGTTTTCCTATCATATGCTATGGCTCTTTACCAATTGTTAGCTCTTAGTTTAATACTATTTGTTAGCTTTAGATAAATAAATAAAAATAAATAAAGTTTTCCTATCATACAATTACTTTATCAAACTATCAACAGAAGTCATCCAATATAACTAAAAGTTGCACCTTAAATTTGATTTATTGATTTGTTAATTGTATTTCTAAAAGTTTAACAATATATTTTCTATTGACTTTTAAACGTGTAAATATTTTACGAGTCACTCATGTCCTGTCTTAACTTTTTTTATGATCTGTTATAGATTAATTGTAGAAAAAACAGCTGCAGCTTTCGACCGGCAAAATAAAAAACTTACCCACTTCCAATGAGATATTCTCTTGAAAACAAAAACAAAGAATTGAAATTATATAACAAGGGTATAAGAGTCCTCAAAAGGATTTCACAAGGTGTTTTTAACTATTTTCAACTGATAATCACAGCACAGAATGCATACAACCAGGTTTACATAGTCTTTTTCGATAGCATTTAATTGTTTCTTGCAACACTTATGTACTTTAATGGTCTTCATCTGCTTTGCAGTTCTGCGAGCACTTACAATCAAAAGCATTCACATTTGCCTCAGGTCGGGCATTAATTTTGAAACGTATTTATGCGAACCCTTCAGGCACGGGCCCAAGAACGTTGGGGGAGGATCGGCTTCGGGATTGGTATTGGGATCGGTAGCGCGGCGTTATTGCGACTGACTGATCTGTCTCAGCTATTCCGATGCCGATCTGGTCGGGTCTGTTCTGCTGGCAGCGGCAGTAGAACCTTTCTCGTCGGTTTGTAAAACAGTACTAGTAGCTAAATCGAATTCAAATTCGAAATATAGCCAGCTACCGCGCAAAATGCTCCCTGGCTGCGGCGTCGGCGTCGGCGTCCGTCTCTGCGGGTGTGCAGTGTGTGTGTGTGTATGTGAGTGTGTTTGTTTCATTCATCAAAAGCCGCTGCTGCTGGCGACTGCGCTGCTCTCGCGACTGCGAGCATCTCACGTAACGCATACGCAGCGTAGGCCGCGTAATTTGCCGCGCCTTGTTTCGCCTTCCTTTACTACGAAGAGTGCAGTGCAGTGAAAGGAACTCATTACGGCCGAGTCCTGGCAGGTTCTTGGCATCCACTTTCACTCTCGATTGCTTCCTTTTCATTAGGCGCTGCATTGAAGCCACACCGCACCGCCTTGATCATCATCCTCGCATTGTTGCTAATGCCAATCAGGGGTTTCCAAGGCTATTCCTCCTCGCGCTGTACAAAAGGAAAGCGAGTTTCTGGTTAGATCTGGTTTATTACGACACCGCCGGATAAGTGGGTCAAGTTTGCACATTACTCAATCCCAGCGGCGATTACGTCCCATAATGCCAAAGATCGCGACAAAAACACCCCGAAAAGTAGCCCAAACAATGGCCATAACCATTGTGCTACTTGAACTTGATTGAGAGTGCCCCGGCATACACAAAGGCCTGGATTCTGAGGCAAGAAAGTGGGATGGATCCAGGCCTAAGCTCGGCGAAAGAATGCTAGTTGGGCATTTCCGGTTTCGTATTCGTAACATAATAAATATCAGCAGCAGAAATAAAGTAATAAAAATCAGCACAGCTGCAGCTGCCTTTGATCCGCTTCAATTCGATTTGCCTTGGGGGCCGGGGCCAGTTCCATGCTGGTGGGAAATGAGTGTGTGCTGTGTGCTCTAGCTGCGGAAGAGCAGGCCGGAGGATGGGATGCGGCTAAGTGGCTCCCAGTTGACAGTGCTTGGCGTAGTCCCTAAACCTAAACCGTGGTCGGCAGCGGCCGTGTATGCGCTGCCCCCTTTCTCATCCGAAGAGGTGAGCACACACACATTCGGACCGGAACTGTCGATCTTCATTTTTGACACTGGACACAACACCACGCACACATGAACACAGGCTGGAAATTGCACATGTTGCCATGTTGTGGTGTATAAATAAGTAAATAATTAGATAGCTATTCGGCCGTCCATCCGTCCGTGTTGGTGGTTGGACCCAAGTTAATTCGGAAAGTGATTCGTAATGAGGATGAGCCTTTGGAGGGGGGCTTAAGAAGCGATCAAGTTGGAACCAGATTGAAATCTTGATTTTGAATATCAAAACAATGGCATTAATGTGCAGATTATGGATAATTATATTAAAATCTTATCATTTCAGCTGCATAAAATACACAATATACACTCAATTGCTTATTTATGTGAAGTAATCAAAGCATTGTGGTTTACTGTTGAAGTCGCCTATTTCTATAACATGTAACCAAGCTGCACTTATTTTACGGATCCTATCTAAGAATATAAGAATTTATGTACGATTTTATGTATAAGAAAACTTGAACTGAGAAAATACAATAACATTTTGATAGGAATACAGATTAATACGAAAGTAAATTTGCTCCACAAATGATACATTATTTTTAACTGTTGTTTAATCGGCAAAGAATTTATTCAAAACAGAAAACAATTAGAAGTAAGACAAATTCAATTGTAATTCCTGGAGTTTGTTAATGCAAACATCTGGCTTTTGAGAAGGTTTTCACACTCATCCCTTCATAAAAAAAACCCAAGTATTCAAGGTGTTCCAACTTTCCCAAAGAAAACATTCAAATTGTACTTGTGTTTTAACTATTTGGGTGCCAGACCTTAGAAATTTGTTGTTAATTGCTTATGAACTTTGGTAATTATTCCCAACTTAACAGAATGAATCATAATGAATCATACCAGGACAGCCTGTGAATGCATAAACGTTGATTTGGTTTGATTTTCGGATAAAATTTATATTGAATTAGTCGTGTGGAGAAAGTATAACCATGTAAAAGTAGGCCTTGAGTGATATTAACCGGTAAAGTGCATACTTACTGTTATTAATATTGCTGTATAAATATAACTTTGTGTTTAGGGGGCTCTGATGAACATTATTACTTTATTAATAACCCTGCAATAATAAAAAATTAGTAAGTTGAACGGTTTAAAAGACAAAATAACTTACCTAACGCTCCAGAAAACTTCACCTTGGACTTCCATGGTAGATTTCCAGCCCCTCAAGTCCTTATCCCCCCAAAACCAACAGTTGAAAACGCTTTAGTTTGATCGATTTCGGGAAAACTTTGAGCAATCAACGCCTCAAGCCTCGCCTCATATATTAAACATATTTATTTTAAGTGTAAACATATTTGTATTGATTAAGAATTTCAAGATCACAAATCAGATTTCAATTAAGCTTAGTAAAAGTGAACGAATTCTTTCTCCTTTCGCTTCCGCTTCCGTTTCGAAATGGCAACATAAGACGACGTGTGGCAAGGGGCCGAGGAGTCATCTGTCCTGGCAGCCGCGCCTCTGGGTATTTAAAAAGTGCGTGTGATGAAATGGCAAACTTAGTTTTTAGCTCTAAATGCTACAGCTACAGTAAAAGTATAGGTAGAAAAGGATTTGCGGCAGACACGTAGTAAAATGATAAGGTATACAGTGTGCTCTCGACGCGAAGATGATGATGATGCTTTGCGCAACAGTTGGTTCCGCACAACAACCACCACCGCCGCAGCACCATCGTGGCAGCTGCCGGACGAGCATGCGAATGGTAGGGTTAGGGGGGCACGAGGGGTAGCTAGGTAGGTGTGTGTATCTGCTGCAGTTGTTGTTTTGATCCGCCTCGAAGCCTACTCCTCGGTCTTGGGCCGCCTAAACAGGAGGATGTGCGGCTCCGGCTTGTGGATCATGTAGTGGATCCATCCGCGCGACTGCTGCACACCGATCGAGCGCCACTCGGCCTCGGTCATCAGATGTGTCTTGGGCACCATTTTCACCAGCTCCTTGGGCAGCACCACATGTCTGCGGGATTTACAGTTTCAGCCTTTGGGTTACTCTCTCTCTCTGCGGCGCGCGCACTCACCTGTACTCGTACTGCTCGTCGTAGTATTTGTCGGAGTAGTAAATGTCCTTGCTCATCTTTCTGGTTGTGTGGATTTCCTTCTGGGACTATCGGAATGCGGCGGAATGTGTGCGAAAACTCGGCGTCTGTTTTTTGCGTGGGGGAAAGCGTCTTCCTTGATCACCTCGCTCTCGAGTCCAGCTGCTTCCTCTCTAAGGATTTATAACACAACGCGAAACAGCGCTTATTTGGCTTCGGCTTCAGTGGCTTTTATCACAATTTGGTTCTATAGGCATCTACAAATAAACGTTTTTAATTTAATTTAAAAGCAAAAAAGTGACGCGGTCCGAAGTAGTGAAAAAGTGTGGCCAGGTGAAATTCGGCTAAGCGGTTAATTTCATGTCAAATGTAACAAACGGTGTCAAATGTAGCAATGGGGGTAGAAGGTATGTAAAACGGGGTCGAATACCGAATCGGTAAGTAAAATGGTGTAAAATTAGTGTGGCCAGATGTCTTTCTCTCAGAAATCTCAAATGGTTTAAATTTCCACTGACGATCTGGTACTTTTGGTCGCTCATTAACGGCAAGTCTGGTATCACTGGTGCGTTGCCAGACTTTTCGGTCATTGGCGGTTATATTTCAAATAAATATAAAATGTAGCTGCAATTTAAAAATAGGATACAATCTAAAAAAAAAAAACAACTTATACCCTTGAAGGGTATTGTAATTTTAGTCAGAATAATATATATTGTTGATCAGAATCAACAGCCAAGCCAAATCGAAATAGTTATAAAAAGGCTATAAAAATTGTCAAAAACTCCAGACAAAATTAAATTTTCTTCATTCTTGTACCTTCTAATTCTTGCCCTAATATGTAAACCTTATAAAAACAAACAGAAAACCTTTCCGAATTGAATTTGACGAATAAGCATTGGGTCCACTGATCCACTGGAACACAATAAGGGTATACAAACCATTAAACTGTAGTATTTTCATAAAAAAAACCGTAGCTATTAGAAACCCCACCTAAGAGCGTACAAAAGCAAATCGCTAAACACTTGACCACTTGGCCTGCTTCCCACACAAACTAATCGCCGGCGCCAAGCATAAATATGCGCTTCAAATGGTCTGACCCCTCCTGACCAGCCCTCTGCCACGCCCCATTCTGTCTGCGTGAAAGGAAGGTCCTAAAAGGCTGCCTGCACACACATAAATTCACCCAAAATGCTCACCACGAAAGGCGGAGGCGGAGGCGTTGGCTCTCAGCCCGTGCGAAATCTTACATAAATTTCGCGGTGCGGACAAGCCGAAAAGGAGTGCATACCGCGAGAAAGGAAAACGAAGAGGATGAAAGGATTGCAATGTATTTGTTTAACTCTGGGGAACTCTTAAGTGTTGCGCTCGTAATACTGGGACGGGATGAAGACCCAGTTCTTGGCCAAGTCGTTGATGGCCTCCTGCAACAGCCGTGACAGGATTTCCATGATGTTGCTACAGGTAAAATGGGTATTAATATTAAGTAGTTACAAATAATAATCATCATACTTCCGATCGACCTCCGTGACCGGTTCCCCTGGCACATCTTCATCAGGATTCACCACCTGCTCGTAGGTCTTCACCGTCCTCTGCCGCTTCCGCTCCTGATTGATGCGCATAAACTTGGACTTGCTGAGGTACTTCCAGAACAGCTTCTCGAAGATGGTGATTCGCTGGTCAATGGCCATGCTCAGGTCTATGATCTCGTTGGAGCAGAGTCGGTTTTTGGACATCAGCCGGCGGATAAGCTCCCTGCGTTCCGCCTCAGCACGCTGCTCCGCAGTCGACGGCGGCTTTGGTGGCCCAACTCCTGCTTCATCGGCTTCATCTGCTTCAACTCCTGGTCCAAACTGGGCACAGGGAGAAGGTCCTGCTGTGGGATCGATCGTATCGCCTGGCTCTACGTCCTCGGATGTGTCCGAAGCGGGCTTAATGGTGGTGCGGATGTTTAGCTGCAGGTAGACGTGCTCCAAGTAGCTCTCCTCTTTCCATTTGGGGTCGTCGATCGATTCGATCTCTGACAGCTCCTGTTTGGCGATCACGGTGGCGCGGTCAAGGATGCGGTGCACCTCTAGCACGATGGGAATGCGCCGAAAGTGCACCAGACGCTCGAGCAGCGTCACCGAGATCACGCACAGCTTCGAGTGGTGGCTCTTGAGGCGGAAGATGGGCGGATTGAAGACCACCGAGAAGAACTCATTGATAATGTAGCTGTTAGGGGAAAGAGTGTAAAAGAAAATTAATTATTTATATAAATAAACCTTTACTACATTCTAACTTCTTTTAAATTACCTCTGCCAGCGAAACTCCAGGCACTTCTGACTGTAGTTGTGGACATTGACCAGCTGCGTCCGCTCCTCCCGCAGCCCGGCCTCGACATTCACGCGGTTGGGATAGATGACATACATGAAGTCGTTGCACTCGCGATCCTTCAGGGGCATATCGGTCTCCTCATTGCTGTCGGTCATCACGCCACGAGCTTTAATCTTGTAGCGGGCCTTGGAGTTGTTGTAGGTCAGGAAGACCTCAGCCTGGGGAGAAATATTTGATATTTGATTTGTGATAGAGATATATAAATATGATTATACCTCATTCTCGTAGTCCAGGGGCCGATAGTCCACCAGCAGGGGCCACACACTCTGTCGCGGCACTGTGAGATTCATGTTGAGCAGCTTCAGGCCCCGGTCCCTCGATGAAAACGAGAAGGACAGATGCGACATGGTAATGTTCTGCACCCAAATGGGCTGGGTGGTGTGATAGAAGTTTTTTATGTTCACAGGCAAGAGCTCTGTGGTGAGCAGGCACTTTTCTGGATGAAAGTCGGAAATCTCCAGGTGAAAGTGCCACAGGAACTTGCGCTTGTCGTCGGTGCTAAAAAAAAGAAAAATACGACTCTTATTATACCCAAATCTATCCTTAATGCTAAAATACATTCCAAGTACCCGTGTCATAGTATCTTTTGCCTTTTTCGTTACTAAAGAACTTACTTAACTTCGTAGGTGAGCAGATGTTCGCCGTACAGGAAGAAGTAGGCCGTGGTAGTCAGGGCCACCACTTCGTCGGGCTTGATGACCATTATCTCCTGGTTAATGTGGAGCAGCCTGCGGTGTGGACAGTTGAAGAGGTGTCGATACTGGTTGAAGCCAACCTGTGTCCTTAGCGGCTGACATTGGCAGTTCTGGATTCGCTTCAGGGTCAGGGTGGTCTCGGTGGACGCGAGGTTACGAAGCCAGAACACGACCTTCAGGGGTTGACTGTGGATCTGACGGATGGGTATCACAATGGTGTGCTCGTGTTCGGCGCGATTCGAGCGCAACTTCTTGTTCAGGCTAAGCTTGCCATCCGAAAAAAAAGGAAATGGTCATATCTAGTAATCTAAAGGATCATTATACAATGACTCACCCCGTTATGCCGAAGCTCTCCCAGTAGTAGATCTTCAGGATCGGCGGCCGGATAATGGTTAGATTCTCTACCATTAATTTTTTGTAGATGGGATTTGGCTTGAGTTCGCCCCCGCATGGCAGCGGTGGCTTACTGGGAACCGTCGGCACCTCTGACATATTTCACTACAAAATATATATACTATTCCAGACTGACAGTTCAGGCTCAAGGTGCTGATACAATGAGGTAAGAAATTAAATATATGTATATCACATTTTCTGAGGACAAGTCTAAAATGCAATCAAAGAAATTGTGATATATGACGTAAGAAATTTGTTATCGGAGGGCATGACTAACTTGCACTTATCTATCTCAATAAGTAGTTTAGTAGCCACTTGAAAGTCCATATTTGATAGACATTCTTAAGACCAAAACTTAATATTTACACTAGACTTTCTTTCCCGCAGATATCTTCCGTCACGTATGATGCCTGAGTTGAGTATAAAACAGCTATAGTCGCATGTCAGGCCATCACTCTTAGCAAAATGTTTACTAAACTCGCGATTCTCGGTTCGGTATTGTGTCTGCTTTCCTTGGTCGGAGCTTTTGAAGTGACACCATACATTGAGGATGGTAAAAAGGAATCGGCCCGCTAATATGAATGTTTCTAATTCTTGAAATATTCCTTAGGGATCCCACAGGAACTGAACATTACCACAGGCCCATTCCTTAAGATCGGCCATGGCTATTATTACATTGAACTGACGACTAAAAAAAATTGGTTTGATGCCTTTGCATCATGTCGCCGGTTAGGCGCAAATCTTGTATCGTTTGAGACTATTCAGGAATGGGATTTAGTCAATCAGTATCTCTGGAAAAATAAGATTAACAATATATATTGGGTCTCGGGAACCGACTTGGCCGTTCAGGGAAAACATGAATGGTTCTCAACCGGTCAACCCATATCCCTTAAAATATGGTATCCTGGAGAGCCAAATAATATGAATGGAGTGGAGCATTGTGACTTGATGGGAGACAAAGCAACCGAAAACAACTACAACACGCTGAATGACTGTATTTGCGAGTATAAGAGTCTCTACATATGCGAAGCGCCACAGCCAAAGACAGCGTCGTTTGTTATTTGGTAATAATGTTATCCAGTTCATATAATATTAAATAAAAGCAATTTGAAAAAAGTATTTACCCAAATATTATTCGTAAAAGAACAAACAGTGACAGAAAACTCTGTATAATTATTCTTAAATAAAGAGCTGAGCGAAAGCAGCAGCTTATAAGTAGGTAATCTTAACTAAACAAAATTGTTTATTGTTTTATAGAGTGAGTACGAATCTTTTTCTGCCAGATAATATAACTAGCTTGCAATTATCCAACTATCTAGTTTGCTATTTGAAAAGCTTTGCTGCAAGACTCTTAATAAACAGATATTAATATTTACTTAACTACAAAACTGCCTGTAAAAGTATATATATCTTTACAGATATCTTTCGAGTTTTATGATCCTCGAGTTCAGTATAAAATAGCTGAGCTTGCAGGCCCATTCATTAGTATTCTCAAAATGCTTATTAAACTCACAATTCTCGGCTCGATATTGTGTCTATTTTCATTGGCCGGAGGTTTTGAAGTGACACCAACCATAGAAGATGGTAAACTTAAATTGTACTGTACAAATATCTGAATTACTAACTCTGTAAGTGTTGCTAGGAATACCCTTTATAAGGATCGGCCATGGGTATTACTATATTGAACTAAAGACTACAAGGAACTGGTTTGATGCCTTCGCTGCTTGTCGCCAAATAGGCGCCAATCTAATAGCTTTTGAAACCACTGAGGAGTGGGTTGCAATCAATGAGTTTCTCTGGAGATACAAGATAATGGCCCAGTATTGGACTGCAGGCACTGATCTGGCAAATCAGGGAAAACACGTATGGTTGTCAACAGGTCAACCAATATCGTTAAATCTTTGGGCTCCCACCATGCCAGATAATTACCAAGGTGTAGAGCATTGTGACGAGTTGGGATATAATGCTGTTGAGACCAACTACAACTCCCTCAATGACGACCGTTGTGATAAAAAGAACCTTTATATATGTGAAGCCTCGGAGCGAAAGACAGTGTCGTTTGTTATCTCGTAATATAAATATATAAAAAAGTGTTTATAAATAAAAGCAGCTTGATAACTTAAAGAAACCTTTTAATGGTCTGCTGGAATAAGAAAATAAGTAGAAGAAAAACGATATTATGCAAGGCACCCATTGTTGAAATAACTCTTTAGATACACCGCAAAGTGAGAAAGTCTGCGGGCGACTGTGTACAGTGTACACCAGTGCGTATGAGTGTTCTTCGATAATCCCGTGTGCAATTCGTTTTTGTTTGCGAATTGACAAAGTGCCAGAGGCCAAGTCGAGGGCAGCAAAAAGCGAGCAAGAAAAGGACATTAGCGCCGCTGTGAAAAATAAACCTCCTGCCGAGAATCGAATACACGCACACCTGTATTATTGCAAGAATGTGTCGTTGTATGTGTACATAGGTAAGTGTAGCTGCAGATGCAGATGTAGATACGTATACGTGGGTGACTGCAGTTGAGCTTCATCGGAAAAACATCGCTTACAGTTAGTGCGCTGACAGTGGAAAAGGTGAAAGACCAACAGCAATTACAGTACAGTGGAGCCAGCCAAGCAAAGCAGTTAAGGCAAGGATCCTTCCTTGAAATATAATTTATATTCAGGATCAACAGGATACAACAAAAAAATAACTTGAAATATATACCTATAGAAATAAATATCAGAGCTAGATAGATTGCAATGACTTATTCAATACAACTTTTCATTGCCTTAGAAGGTGGATATTTGATTTGATTTTTGTTGGGTGATTAGTGAGTTATTAAAGCTTATTTTCTTTAAAGTACCAAGACGCTGAAGATCTGGTTTAAAAAAGATAATATACTCTTTTAACTTACATATGAATTTCCTGTTTTTTTAATGTTTTTTAAAAAAGAGTTCATTCCTTGTCCGCTCCTCATGTCCACTGTCCTGACAGTAGCTACAACCTGTGTGCATTAATCACAACCTTTGACAGCGTCGCTGCCACGCTTATCAGTCATGTCCTTGCAACAGCCCCCTCAGCCCCCTCATTCGTGCCACTATCAACTCCCTCTCGCCGCCCATCATCAGAAATCTGACATAACAATGGTGGAAAATGGTCTATGACCAGAATACAGGAATCCCCGAGAGTAACACGGCAGCTGCAATTGTCGGTGACTTTTCCTTCTTGTTGCTCGTGCTAGAGTCCTTTTTGAGTGATTTTCCGAGAGAAATACTCTCGCTCTCTGTTCCAAACTTGCCATCATTCCTTTCCACTCAAACCGATGCATTGCCACACGTTCCAGCTCGATGGCGACGAACTTGATGTTTTTAAGCAAATATTTTGCATGGCCTTTTTTTCTGTGTTTATGTTGCAAGAGCTGTTGGCCAGCGACAACTTGTTGGCCAATTGTTGTGGTTAGACTTTGAGCTGCCCAAAGTTAGGGGGCATGATATGGGGGGTTTTCGGGGTCCCAAAGCCCTTCATGGCCCAGTCAGCTCCTTCAGAGTGTCGCTGGCTGCGCATAATTATGGCTTAATTTGCAGCTGAAGCAGCAACTAATTACTACGGCAAAAAACTTGACTAGTCCTTTTCTTATTTTTTTGGCTAAGAGCACATGGCAATTAAAAACTTTTTATGCAAGACATTTTTTAACAATGCCCCTCCCCTTTCGGCAGGTAAACTTGGTCCCCAGGAATCCTTGCTGTTGCCTTTTCTGTCGCGCTTCATAATTGAAAATCACTTAGAGCGTGAAGTGAGGAAAAACATTTTCCCAGCTAGGCGAGGGAAAAGCATTCTTTGGAATAAGATGAGCCACTGCTTAAAGCTGATAATGCGACACCTGAGAGAATCAGAAAATGCACTTTAACACCATTAATTATTGAAAATAATTAGCCGAAAGGTTGCCAGAATTTTTAATTGCGGGTTTTTTTTTCTAAAGCATCATATTATATTATTAATGTTGTGTCAATTTTTTTAATAACCACAATATTGTATAGTTTGACATGCATTTTTTAATTTTATGTGCTTTTAATAATGCAGAGATTTTTTATTCACAGCGATAGCTTGCAATAAAATTTAAATTTTTCTAGTAAAAAGAGATCATAACCATACTTAGTAGATAACTTTTAGCTAAGATACAAGTACAGTGACTATTTAATAAGAAACAACGACACAAAAGAGCTAAAAAATGGCCAAACTACCTCTTTAAAAGTGCTTTTTAAATACATTTAATTTAAAATAGAATACAAATAAATATTTTGCTCAATTGTCTCGCCAACCCAGTGAATTGGAGTGAGTCCAAGCGGTTCGCCACCAGAGGTTAGATGCCCTGTCCAGGGGGCGCAATCCAAAGGGGGCGTGGCAGTCACTGACATTCAACATCCGATGCCTGCCATTCCATTCACGAGTCGGAGGCGCCAGAAGAGCAAGGATTGCCAGGCCACAAAACAAAGCATTACACTGCGGAAGGGGTGCTGGAGGGAGAAAACGAGAACGACGGCAGTGGCTGCTGCAAACAATTATTGTTATTTCAATTGAAATGCAACGCTCACCGACCCCTGCAAACTTCCTTTCCCAGAAACCTTCCCCCGGGCCCCCGTCCCGGAGTACAGTCATCGCATCGCCAACCGCAGCTCTGTGGCCTTTGTAGAGTTGCTATCAAAATTATACACCTTGCAGCTATGAACGACGACGAGGAACGATAAGGGGCAAGAGGAGGAGGCTGGCGGGTTCATTGTAATGCAAATTACGTATACGCCGTGGTGGTGCTGCTGCCCTCCCTCCGAGCTGTGTGCCTCGCGTGTGAGTGTGCATATTTTTGACCCCTGCCATTGTCGGAGCTGAAAAAGTAATAATAATGAAAATATGAGAGACTCTTGCCCCAGCGTTTGTTAGGAAAATGCAATTAAAGCATTAAGCGGCGTGGAAGATAATCGCAAATCCATGTGCGCTTCAACAGAAAACTCAGACCTAAACCTGTTTGCATCGCCGGAATTTCCTTATTGGCTTTGCTCTCGAAAGTGGCCCACTTAATCATCAAAATAAGTTTAACCCGAAAACTTTGACCAGTGTCCAGAATGCGGCAAAAGGAAATGCAACATTTTGCAGCAGGAAATGCACTCGACTAACTTTTCCCCCAACTCACCCACTCACGCACTCCAGCCATTCCAAGGGCCAGGAAGTTGTCGCATTTAAATGGGAAAACTTCAACACACCAAATGGATACACAAATACCAGAAATTGTCCCAAAGGCAGCAGCAGCAGCTGGGTAACAAAAATATATGTGCTAACGACTGATAACGGCGCAAATGGACACGGCTTAGTCAGGGGGAGGGGAAGCTGAGGAGGGCTGGCTCTGCCTTGGACCGCAAACCGGAAACGGAAACTGCATCCGCCACGCCATCGCTGTCATCAACGCCATCATCATTGTCGTCATCGGCATTTGAGAGGTCCTTCCTCTGACAACAGGGAGTGCGCTTTCCATATGCATATCCCCATATCCCGACCGTGCACAGGAGTGGCATACCTGTAGCCTGTCAGCCGTTGGCTAGGCCTGCTTGCCTTTCCGCTTTTCCAACTCTTTTCACATTCACCGCAAGCAGCTTTACGCAGGCAGCCGGGAGGGCGGCACTTTCCCGCCTGCATTGTATTTCAGGACAATGTTTACTTTGTGTGGCAAAAGCTATTGACAGAGAGGCAGTTTCAGGATAACTAAAATATTTACAAATACCTAATTGGAAACTTAAGTCTTACTTCATTTTGAGTTTAAATATTTAAGAATTATAAACCCTTGTCGGGGGTTTTTTTTTTAATGTATTGAGCTCTTAAAAATTTACTTTTTATGATACGCTTGGAGCGACAACTTTCAGACAGCTGAAAAGAGAGTAACATGTACATGTTCGGAGATAAACCAAAAAGTACGGATGGGTTAGGGCATATCGCTGTGAACGTTACGTGTTGGAACAACATTTCCAAAAGAAACTTTTTACTTTTGCCAGTTTATATTTCAGAGAATGTGGGAAATGGAACAGCAAATACCCTTTCAATGATAAATCTTTATAATATATTAGGAATAATCTTTACAACATAATATTTAAGAATTTGGTAATTTAGATACTTTTCATTGTAATTGCAATAAATATAAAATATTTACTGAACCTGCTCATGTACATGATATATTAGATAGAGTATTTACGGCTTTCCTGGGGCATTTTCCTTTATGTTTTTCTTTTTTTTTTGGCTAGTTGGTTGCGTGGTTGGTACTCAACTGCAATGGCAACTGGCGAAAACCGACAAAAAATATTCGCTCTGAATATTTAATTGTGCGCGTTCCGTGCATTTATCTCGTGCACACACACGGCACACTCCCCCTTTCCCAACCCAACACACACATACACAGACGCACGGTGTGTGTGTGTGGGGGCGTGGCTTTTGAGCTGGTTTGTTGCGGTTGCATATTTTGTGGCTCTTTCGGGTCTTTTCGATTTTCGAAATGCGCTTTTAGTTCGCCTGCTTCAGTTGTTTGCCTTTCTTTGGGCTCGTCCTGGCGTCCCAGTTGTTGTTTGTCCTTTTGCAGCAAAAACCTGGCAACTGTATAAATACAAATTTCTTAGTTATTTTCTCTTTTATTTTTATTTTTTTTTTTTTGGTTTTTGTCCTTTTTCTTCTTGTGGCAGAGTTGTCTGGACTTCCTCGTCTGTCTGGTTTTGTGGGTGGGATGCCAGTTACTTGCACACTTTTTGGCGCTTTCTGGCTTAACTTGTTTTTGGCCCGGAATGGAGATGGGCTTTCCATATTGATATGTAAATTCCTTCGGTTCGAAAGTTGTCATTGTGGTTTTTCTCGATATCCATCAAAGGGGCTTGAAGATGAAAGGATTTTGCGATTTAACTTGCCACAAAAAAGGGTTGCAAAGCATACAAAAATAACAACATAAAGATCTGGGATTAAAAAAGTAGGAATGTTCTCAAAATTGTGTCCACAAAATGTGAATTTATCCTAATAAAATAATCTTTAAATGCAAATTAATACGCTATTTTGTAGCACACAATATGTACAATCCTTGAAAGATACAGATTAACTTTAATGGTCTTGTCCTATT